TGATCTGAAACATTTAAGTGTGACAAACATGCAAAAAAATAAGAAATCAGGAAGGGGGCAAACACTTTTTCACACAACTGTATATATATATATATACATACACACACTACTCAAATCTGTAATGTCTTAGCTGTCAATATCTATTTTCACTTCGTCTCCTATCACATGGCCTGTAAACGGCATTTGAAACAGCGGTGAACAACCTCTTGGCTGTGTTATCAATGCAAAAGAAAACTTTATTAGCTTTTTACAAACAAAATCAAAACTATGGTAGAAAATGCTCTTCAATACCTCATCTTTCATATGTGTTGTCATTCTGTCTGCATCTCTATCCATTGGTGTGCTGTTGTACATTCTTTGCAATTTATTTTGGGATCAGCAGGAACAATTCACACATGTGCTTCAATAAGTCAATAGCGATAAATCTGACTGACTTACAATAAAAAAGTGTTGTTTGTACAAGCCAGACACATCACACAGCACAAACATAAATGATTTGACTTATTTGAAGTTGCAAAGGGGCTTAAAGGGCATGTGGGCCTGATGGAGACATTTCCCCTCCAGTCTGTGAAGCACTTCATTGAGTGCGGTCACCTTCCTCCTCTCATTGTTCCTCCTCATGGTCCGTTACTCTGCTCTACGGCTCGATGCCAGTGGCCTCTTTACAAATGTGAGCTCAGTTCCTGGTTCAACATGCGGCTCACACAACACATACTCAACAGAGAGAGTGAGACGGGTACTCTGAAGGTTGAATAACATATCAACAGCGTGACATTAACGTGATGCTAGTAGGGCATTATGGGGGCCTTGTGGTCTGAGATGTATACCACATCACTGTTGGGCTGCTTATGTAACGATACAATTCAAATAGTCCCTACCCGTCTTACAGGTCTTAATTCTGCATTGAAGTTATTGTGAGGATGCTCTGTGGAGTGTGATGCACTATGGGATTGTATGTCCACAGATCTTCAACACACAGCAAATATCTGTATATGATTAGATTAAGGTGAGTGACAGACAAAAACAAACATTGATCTTATTTGTATGTGGTTTTAAAATAATCTGTTTTGAATTTTGATTTAAAAAGAGGTTCCCATCATGCTCTGGGTGCTCCCAGTGAAAGGAGCACGTTGCACTGGTTCCAAAGGTCTGTTCTCCTTTGGCTTAGAGAAGGGAAACAGATACCATAGGAGAAGATGAGCAGACGTCCTATAGAGCACTGAGTAGAGTATTATATATTTATGATGTATTATATACATAGATATACTATGATGATGATATCGTAGTGGCATGTAGTAAGTAAAGAAATATTATAACGATTAAATAAGAATTATATTTGAAACTAGCCCCACATTCTCAGTCTGTTCTTGTTAGTTATTTTGACCAACTCCACCACTCGGTCAACAACCTTTTGCCTCCCACGTTGAACAGTTCACTGCGGTCAGTCTAGAGAGCTTCTGTAGCTGTTAAAGAGTTTGGGCTCTTATTTTATTGAAATTCTTTCCCTGCCAGATAAACTAATGCAAACACACTGTTCATTTCAGCCATCTCTGTTATTGCCACCCAGCCTATGCTGGGTTTTAGAGATTTCCATAATTATGCAGAAGCACTTTGATGTTCTTCTAATACCTTGTATTTCAGTCTGGTCTCCACTCTGGTTGGGCTGTAAACCAATCTGAACACAGATTACACACACAGGTATCAGCACACAGTTACTCACCAGTATGATTATACACCACATCTGTAATACACAGCATGTTCCATTCTTTCTTTAACTTCTCCACCAGAGCCCCCACATCTACCCAGCTGTAGCTCTGACCGTCGGGGCAGAACTCAGGGTTAAAGTTGAGCTGGTCTGCCAAGGAGTAACAGGACCTGGACTCTCCTAGAGTCTGCAGAGGCGTGAAGTGGATCATGTTGTATCCTTTGAGGGAAACCCACGTACACACTGTTATTAAGCAACTGCAGCATACTGTAAGAACTACCACTATTAATGACAATGTGTATCCTGTATGCTATGAAGTAGGGCTGATAATATCTCTACATCGCTATGCTGAGATACATGATATATACTGTATATCTTGATGTTTTCATATTTCCTAAAAAAAACAGTTTAATTTAACCCGTTGATGGAATGATCATAACAGTGTGATTATTACACATTACCTGAGAACACTAACGTCACGGTACGGTCATCTTAAAGTCAGATTGGTCTTTAGAAATGTATTCCTATGTATTTTGACTAATTATTCACAGAATTGAAATTCAATTTTTCTCTGAAAACAGTTTGCAGGCAGTAGGTTTCTCCCGAGGTCACTAACCACTCCAGGGCTTTCACAAAAACAATGCAATAAAAGACACACACCCGACTCCTTGGCTACTCTCAGTCTATCTGGCCAGTCATCGAGGGGGCCCAGACATTTGGACAGGTAGGTCTGGATGGTGATGCAGTCTAATGGGAGGATGCGATTGTCTGCTCCAACATGAAGGACTGGGTCGACTACGACGTATCCTCCTCCTGACCTCTCTGTGTCTCTGTGGGTCAAATATAGGAAATACCAGACAAAGTGGACCTCTCATTACCAGTGCACAGCTGTATGAACTTCTATCATACAAACATATCCAAACCATAAGGCATCACAGACGGCATTCATTAATACAATAGGACATTGTCAAAATGTGCTAAACATTATCTCTCCCATTAGATGAGATGTGAGCTCAGGATCATTTGAGTTGTAAGGATGTTTGGTGACACATGCAACACAAAATCTGTGTTTCAATGCCTCAATAGTTTTTCAGGGACTTTCAACCGTATCACATGGTCTTGATTTTAGTTAGTGCACCTTGTGTTATGGCTGTCCTGTCAACATTTCCAAAGTCAAGAAGACTGATACGGTTGAAAGCTCTGGAAAAAACTAGTAACTGAATCGGACATTTTTTGTAAAACTACCATTTCGAAAGGTCAAGAATGGCCATTCATGCTTAGCTAGTATCGTGTTATGTTATGTACACTGACACCAGTGTCACATTATTGTACACCATGACGAATTCACTGCCAACAGTCCCACTTTGTGTAAAGACTCTCCAGAAATATTCAAGAAGATAGAACATCATGTTACTAAACACAGAGCACATTGGTTTATTGGTGGTAATTTGCCTTCTGATGACAACTAACTCGAGCTATCCTCTACATCCTCAGCTCTCATGAGCTCTATACAATGGTGTTAGCCTGGAGTCCATTATCAGGAGGGTCTTACCCATATCCAAAGTAGTACTGATAGGACCCAGCAACCTTGAGGTCCAGAGAGCAGAACTTATCAGAGTCATCCTCCCTTCCTGTTGGGTAGCTCCACACCAGAACACGGAAGTTGTTTCGTTTAAATTGTTGTCCTTCAAGCGGATAGTTGGTGTGAACCACAACCCTCCTCCCCTGGAGGTTCGGACCCAAGTGAAACTGTAGTTCAAACCCTGTGGAGGCAGAAATGTTGTCATTAATTGCTTTATTTCAACATGGCAATCATGAAAGATAAACTGCTGTGATTAAATAATTATGGCCACGCCACCAATGTTTATTAGGGGTGTGCCAAATGATCAAAAATTTGTATCACTGTATTTTGGATTTCGGTGGCGTTGTGATGGAGCGTGTGTAAAGTGTTTTTTTTTTTACTCTTTCAGGGTAGTCTATGACAGGCTGCTGGTGCAGGGTGCTCACACAGCAGCATGAAAGCTCCCCAAAAGGCTAAACACGATGCTCTTCCCCTGGTGGCTGGCTGTTAGTTTAGGATGCGCTCGATTTGATATGCAGCAGAGTTTTATATGACTGGAGCACGCATTTCATTCGATTTTGGGAGGCCAAAATGATGTACGCAATTAATATCCAATTAACTGTGCATCCCTTGAGTCTAGTTATTTGCTTCCTTCTATACTCTCAACATCAGTACTGTAACATAAGAGACTGCTCTGCCGTTCTCAAATGAACAAACAGAACACTACACAAATACAGTGGTGTGAAAAAGTGTTTGCCCCCTTCCTGATTTCTTTTTTGCATGTTTGTCCCACTTAAATGTTTCAGATCATCAAACAAATTTAAATATTAGACAAAG